GACTAATAATTGCCAGGCAGGAGAGCTGTGAGTCACCAAAGCACTGTAATCCTGTGACCTGCACAAGTACCTGGAGGAGGCAAAGGTTATTTAAGAAGCAACATTTCCCCTCTCTGGTTAAATCCAATTTCTTTGTGTTGCTCTGCCAGTCACTGTGTAGTTGCTGAAGGAGTGCAGAGTGTGACATATAAAAGTGGTGGGTGTTATTACTGAGCATATTAAACTGACAAGAAAAACACAGGGCTCAGAGGCAGCTCAGAGGCACTTCTGAGGCTCACCAAGAAAAACAAGCTGGTGACACGATCCTTGTGCCCCAGCCTTGGACAAATGATGCTCAGGAGTCCAAGAAGGGGTGAGGTGCACAGCTCTAAAAGGTGGCTAGAGAGGAAGGTGGGACAACTGCCCAAAAGTCAAGCTTTGATACAGTGAGAGAGAACTTAAAAGGTTCTGTGGAAAAAAGTAGGAAAAAAAAAAAGAAGAAAAGAAAAAAAAATATTGCTTTCTATAAATAAATGTGGGCAGGGAAAGTGCTGGGGAGGGAGAAGATCTAACAGGCAAACTTGGCACAAGAACAAAAAGTATTCACTGGCCATGAATAAATTCTGAGTGGAAAACTGAAGGAAGTTTCCATCCAACAAAGGAACAAAACCCTGGCCCAGGGAGCAGCAGGAGGAAGGGAAGTGACTGGAACCAAGTGGAAGGGCAAGAGAAAGGCACAGAGAGGAAGGAGCTGCCCAGGTCACCCCAGCAGTGTGACACGGGTCCTGAGGGGCTGAAACCTTTTGGGGAAGCAACAGCAGCACCCTGATCCCAGGGGAGCTGGATTTTGGGGAGCTGGATGTGGCCATGGAGTGCTGTGCCCACCAGATCCTCCATCCCTGGGGAATCCCCTCCCTCAGAGCCCCACTGGCTCTTCAGTGCTGGGACTGCTGGGGCAGGGGACACTCTGCCAAGGTCACACCAGTCTGGTGGTGCCTTTTTAAGCTCAGTTTAATGCCATCAGTGTGAAGCAGGGCTGGATCTGACAGCTGAGCTCAGCCTTCCACAGCAAGAGATTTATCAAAGAGAGGTTTCTCCGAGAAATCCCTGTCCCTGGTTTATAACCTGAGCTTTACCTGCAGCCTCTTTCTATTCTCATTTATCCCATGGCCTGGGGCTCCTCTCCTCACCAAGATAATGGGACAAGCGGAGAGGGATTTTTGAACTGTGAGTGTTTTTTATCACTAAAAAAAGCTCAGGAAAAAAAACCACTAAGGTCATTTTGCAAGGATCTGAAAATGTTTGTTTCATTTGTTGTTGTTTTTTTCTGTTTGTTTAGCTTTTTGTTTGGTTTGTTTTGGCTTTTTTTGGTTTGGTTTTATTAATCAAGAACAAACCAAAACCCCCTACAAAAATCTCTGGGCTCAACTGAAACATTGATGGATTTCTCTGCTTTAAAAATTAAAATTAAGTTGAGATTAAAACATTTCAACTGGAAACACATTTTCAGTGGAAAAACTGAAAAACTAAAAACTGGAATTCAAATCTGGCAAATGAAACATTTGGACCTGTTCTTCACAACACTTCCCTCCCTCCTGTCCCAACCTACCAGACTATTTTGCCTGACAAGTGTCACTTTTTCCCATTGAAGTAGGTTTGCAGAAATGGTTTTGAACATCCAGAGGGCAGGATTGGGTTAAATATCAGGAAGAAATCCTTCTCTGTGAGGGTTGGGGAGGCCCTGGCACAGGTTGCCCAGAGAAGCTGTGGCTGCCCCATCCCTGGAAGTGTCCAAGGCCAGGTTGGACGGGGCTTGGAGCAACCTGGGCTGGTGGAAGGTGTCCCTGCCCATGGCAGGGGGTAGAGTGGGACAAGCTTTAAGTTCCCTCCCAACCCAAACCAGCCTGTGATTCCATGATTCCATGATTGTAAGAAAGTAGTTTTCTCAGCTCTTCAAAATAATTTCAGATAACTTCAAAACTGGTCCTCCCTTCTCCAGGAGAATCATGAGCCTTTATCCTTTTCCACAAGGTGTAGATATCCACTCCACACACCTGGGGAGAGCTCCCAGGAGTGAACACCTTCCCTCCAACATCTGCCCAAGCCCACAGAAGTGGCTGCTTGGGGAGCACATCAGAAGGGCCAGGAGCCAACATCCAAAGCTGTTCTGCCTGGGGACATGTTTGGGGGGCAGGTGGGGGTGGAGCTCTGTGGTCTGCAGAATATTGGGGCAGTTTTGGATGTCACAATATAAGGAAGAGATTGAGCCATTAGAGAGTGTCCAAAGGAGGAAAGGAGGATGGGGAAGGGCCTTGATTTGAAGGCGTGTGAGGACACTGAGGGCACTTGGTGTGTTCAGCTGGAGAAGAGGAGACTGAGGGGAGACCTCACTGCAGTTCCACCTTCCTGGGCAGGGGCAGAGGAGGGGCAGGGACTGAGCTCTGCTCTGGGGGGACCAGGGACAGCAGCCAGGGAATGGCTGGAGCTGTGTCAGGGCAGGCTCAGGTTGGATCTCAGCCAAAGGTTCTTCCCCCAGAGGCTGGTTGGGCACTGCCCAGGCTCCCCAGGGCAGTGGGCACAGCCCCAAGGCTGCCAGAGCTCCAGGGGGGTTTGGCTGATCCTCTGGGGCACAGGGGGTGACTCTTGGGGATGGGCCTGTGCAGGGCTGAGGGTTGGACTGGATGATCCTTGTGGGTCCCTCCCAACTCAGCATGTTCTGTGACTGGTTTCCTGACTCCCTGTATAATCCAGGTGACTCTCTGGCTGTTCTGCTCTCACAATTTAAATCACTAATGAAACGATGATTACTGGTCTTGTTTCTTTTCTTTTGTTTTCAGACAGCTGATTTATCTGATGTTTGCAGCAACAATAAGGGTGGAAGTCTGGGAGACAAAAGATGTGTATCAAGGAGCGAGTTTTTTTGAAAGCTTTTTTTTCCTGGGGCTGTTCAGGATTCACCAGAAGAACTCAGATGTTACCAAACCCATTCAGAGCTTACATGGACATGGAACATCACTGGGTCAGTTTTGCAGCTAAAGATCAGGTTTCTGGGGACTTGTATATTTTGGATGCTGTGGAATGGCCTTTTAGATATACAAACAATAGAGCAAACCCACCCCCAAACCTGAACAAAATGTTCACAGATCAGAAAGAAAAATAAGTGCACTACCAATGGAGTCTGGAGGTGGCTGATTTGTTGGGTTTTAAGTGATATGGAATTCATGCCTGGCACCTGAAGGCTCTGTGATTTCAAGCAGGTTTTGCTTTGAGACTGAAACCAAAATTGAAAGTAAAATATTTGGATCAAGAAGTGAAATATTTCAAAAAAGACTAAAGGAAATGTCTGTGTAACACTCAGCAAGAGACCCCCACCTGGCTTTTTGCTCAGCCCCCCTGCTAAGCCTCATGTAGAGCCCAAAATTAAAGACTGGGTTAAATAACACCCTGAAATAATGCTACAAGTTCACCATGGGACTGGTAAAATGTGCTGCTGTTCTGCATAATAAAAGACTTGTCTTTAATGCAAAGGCAGATTTCAGCTCCATTCCCTGATATAAATAGGGCAGCTCAGAGTCAGAGTGAATACAGAAATTGTTTTCTTATATGCAAATGAGAGATCACATTATTTCATAGGAGGAACTGTAATAGTTGGGAAATGTTTCCAGATCCTTGTTAAAGGGGAAAAAAAAAAGACTCATCTAATGTTCCCAGATAAAAATGACATTAATTGAAAGTTTGATTCTATTCCCTAATGAGTTTTCCTGTTGCATTGTAATTAATAATTTCTTAGATCCAGGAGAACTGAGTATCCCTTCAAATTAGGGCATTACTTATAAATATGGTGATGTTTTAAGAGCAGTTCTTAAGAATGCCATGGATTGCCCTCAGAATGGCTGTGAGAGTGAGGGACAGGAACAAACCCCTAATGGGGTGCAGATCTTGGTGTGAGCCACCACAGAGCCTGAATCCCTCCTCTGCCAGGAGCCTCCAACCAAAGACCTTGGGGAACATCTTCATGGTGGCTCAAATACACCAGGTCCTACAGTAAACACTGGAGGGGGATGTTTAATAACCACCCTGAGATTTGGGATTTGAGACCTGCCGTGTTTTGTCATTCCAAGGCCAGGCAGGACGGACCTGTCCCTCTGGGATTTGCCTCTGAGTCACCTCCCTGTCATGGCAGAGGTCATAGAACCATAAAGTCATGGAATGGGCTGGGCTGGAAGGGACTTTAAAGCCCATCCAATTCCAGGGTGCTCCTGTCCAATCTGGCTTTGTCCTGGGAGTGTCAGTGCCAGAGGCTTCCAGTCCTAGAAAAGGGCTGGAGTCAGTCCTTGGTGAAACTGGTTTTAAGCTAATGAGTGCTTTTTTTCTTTTTATTGTTCCTTAATTTGGAATTGCATTCTAGTTTAAAACAGCATTTCCCCTCCTGTGTCAGGTATAAAAGGGTTACAGAATTTTAATTTTCTTTTTTTTTTATTTGCCCACTCCCTTGACCCAGGGAAATAAGGTCTTTGCCAAAACACCTTTTGCTGTGAGCCCTGGTTTACATCTAGAACTGGTCCTGTCTCTCAGTATCTCTGGATTAACCTTTCTCTCCTTCCACCATCCAGAAACCCCCACAAATTTCCCTGCTCAGAAGTGACGTCAGCTTTGCTTCCCAGGAGAGCTCAGAAACACAGAAAAGCGTTTTTTTACAGTGGAGCATGGACTGAAATCCCTTATTCCCCTCCACCACACACCCCCTCACGCTGCTGTATTTACACATCACAAATTTCCTGAACAGGCAGGAGCTCCACACGTCCCAGTCCCAGCACAGCAGGGCCAGGATGCTGCTGGGACCGGTCGGAGTGCTGGGAGCAGGGCAGAGCTGCATCCAGGCTGCAGAGCCTGGGAAGTTCTGTATAAAAAGCTGGCTCTGGATGTGTGCCAAGAGGTAGTAAACAAACTGGGAGCTCTGTTTTTCCTCTGGCTCTCCCTCCAGAGCCTGGTCTGTGTGTGCAGTGAGTGCCGGGCGGATCGCTCACTTTCCAAAAGTGGCGCTTTTTTGGGGAGCAACGAGGAGGGGCTGGAATTACCCCTGCCTTCCAGAGTGCCAGGGGAGCAGCAGGAGGCTGCCTGCACTCTGGATTCAGGCCAAAGATGTTAAATGACACGAGAACAAAGTTCAGAGCTGCCTTCAAACCCCATTCCAGTGCCGGAAGCGCGAAAGCAGATCCCCGCGATGGATGAACATGAAAAGCCAAACATATCGATCACTGTGTGCAGCGCTGGCAGCCCAGCTGTGGTGGCAGCAGCCTTGCAGGCTGTGCTGCAGTCGCACAATCACACACAAGGTGAGGAGGAGGAGGCAGAGGAGCCGGGACCGGGGGGGTTTTATTCCCGGTGCTGTCCCCGTGGCTGTTCCCGGTGCCTGTGTCCTCCCCAGGGTGGACCTGCCCAGCAGCCTGTCTGGGTGTCTGCTGGGTGTCTGCAACCTGCTGCACCTCTGCCAGGCTGGGAGCAGTGTCCCTGCTGCAGGAACCATCAGGACCACGGAGCTGCCCTGCCCGAGGGGCCCAAACGCCTGTGGCCTCTGCTCCACGACCCCCAGAGCACGTGGTGTGCAAGGTAAGGCAGCATTTCCCATTAATTCTTGTCTGGGTGATTAGGCAGCAGGAGGAGGCAGTGCTGGAGGAAGCAGAGGCCTCTGCACGCCCAGGAAAAGATGTTGCAGGTGGGGAGGGCATTGGAATGGGCTGCCCAGGGAGGGGGTGCAGTCCCCGTCCCTGGAGGGGTTTGAGCAGAGCCTGGATGTGGCATCAGTGCCATGGTCTGGGTGACAAGGTGGGGTTGGGTCATGGGTTGGACTGGATGATCTCAGAGGTCTTTTCCAACCTGGTTGATTCTGTGATCTGTGATTCTGTGAGGGAGCAGTGCTGGGCTGGCTGTGCTGCTGTGGGCAGGGATGCAGGGATGCTTTGGGAGGGTGGGGGAAGGCCAGCCAATTTACCCTCCACTGTTTGGTAGTGTTTTGTGGGCCTCCTCATGCTCTCCCCTGCCTCAGCCTAAACTCCCTGGGGTTTTCACGTTGTACGCTCCCTCCCAGCCCCCATCCATCCAGCTCCCTGCTCTGATGCCCTCAAGGACACTCTCAAACCTCTGCCCCATCTGTCTGCTCAAAGGAGTGACCCAATTCCCCTGGCAGATGGAGACAATGGGCCTCAAACTGCCCTTGCCCACTATCCCCGGGAGCCCACCCAGGAGTCCCAGCAGTGATCAGGGGATGGCACAGCAGGACGTGGCCACTGTGAGACCCAGTTGTATGGAGACCCTTCACCAAACCTCCCTCACCCTGTGCTTCAGCCCCACAGACGGAGGGAATGTGGGCAGAGAGCTCCTGGAAGATGCCCACTAGCTTTTCCCCTTCCCAAAGCCCTCTTTTGCTTATTCATTTGGGAAACTGCACAGAGAAATGAAGGACAAAGCAGATGATGATTCCTGTGACAGCAGGGGTGTTCAAACCTTCCTTTAGAAGCACTAATGTAGAGATAAAAATCAAACAAGGCAGTGCAGAGAAGCTGTTTGTCCCTGCCTGAGGCGGGGCTGAGCCCTTGCCCCTACTCTGTCCTCACAGCTGCTTTTTTAGGGCTCCACAGTCTCCTCCAGCTACTGCCTTGACCTACCACCTGCAGATGTAGAAATCTCCTTCAGGGCCCATCCCTGTCCCTCTGATCTGGTTCCCTACCTGCCAGGATGCCTTGGAGCTTATTGTCCATGTCCTGCTGGGCTCCAGAGCCTCGGAGCTTCCCTCTCTCCATTGCCCAAGGAAGGGTTAAGCATCTTCCTGCCTCTGAATCAGCCCCCTCCTGTTCTCTCCCGTGGTTCCACATAATTTCTTCTGGGGGACAATGTGTGACCTGCATGTCCAGTCCTGAGGACTCTGCACAGCTGCTGCAGGAAGCCAGTTTTAATTCCACAGGCACACAATGCTCTGTAAAACAGAACATTGCTCTGTGTGCTCCCGGTGCTCGGGGTCACTGTGGCCAGGAGATGTCTCTTCCTTTCGTGGGGGAAGTTTGAAGGAGGGTAATAACAGACGCAGAGACTGAAGGGAGAGAATGATGGGTTTGTGTTCAAGGAGCTGCTCTGAGGGCCTGGAGCCTGTGTCTGTGCCAGTTCCTACGTGATGTGGGATGAATCCTCACCCTGTCACCACAGGATCACTTGTTTTCCTTCTTTTCAGCTTTTGGTACCTACAGAATAATTTGCAGAGTCCACAGCTCTGCCCCTATTGTGGGAGGTTTTGTTTTCCCTCAAACTATTCCAGACCCAGGATGGGATGAGTGTTTTCTTTGGAGGTGATAATTTTTCCCCATTATCCATGGGGATCCATTAGCCCAAGTCAACTCCCTGAGGCATCAGGATGGACTGTACCTGCTCTGTCACTTGAGGGATGGGGATTTTTTACTCTCTATGCTCTGCAACCTTATTGTCCTTTCCTGTCACTGAATGATTATCCCTTCAGTGCCAGGGTTTTCCATCTCACAGAGTACAGTTCATTGAACATCACAGAGCTCAAAAAAAACCTACAGGCCAAGCCAACAAATAAATGACATCAGCAAAACCAAAACAGGAACAAAGAGACAAAGGCGGCTGGGCAGTGTTTGGATCCCAGAGCTGGGAGATTTTAAAGGCAACAGATCCCCAGGGAATTATTGTAAGAGAATATGGAAACATCAGAGAATCACGGAATGGTTTGGGCTGGAAGAGACCTTAAGGATCATCTCATTCCACCCTCTGTCATGGGCAGGGACACCTTCCACTAGCCCAGGTTGCTCCAAGCCCCGTCCAACC